TAAGAGGGTGTTTCCTGACAGTTCTGGTGGCCAGTTTTAATTTGTTTAGCTGGAAGCATTTGCTGGGAAAACCGGTGCCGGTAGCGACAAAAATCCGTGGGGGACTATGCAAAAAACGCATCTTTGTACGGGGAGCCGGTGTGTTGGCCAATTATTGTTATTATTCGATTTGCTGTCCCTGTTGCTGAGAAGACTACTAACTCGATTTGACTTGAGCCATGAGGAATGTGGTACCAGTCGCCGTGCGATTCTTTAACATACGCATTCAAGTCATCGGCAGAATGGTCCAGTGATACGAAGACTATTTCCAGCTGCTCACCATCCACCTCTTCGTAAAATTCCTGCAACAAAAAACCGAACAACTAGCGATTTAAACCAGAGATTTCGATGCGCAGCCCTCTTTCCTGGGCATTTTGGATTTGCCGAAAGCTTCACATTTCATTGCTGCAAATGTCCGGCCCTAAAAAAGCTCTGTGCTTGGACTGTTTGCTAATAATTCCAAACACTGAGAAAGTGCAAAACTCGTACCGCGCGTTTGCAGAATATTGCATTATGAGCATAGGCGGATCCAGGGCGATTTGCTAGGGGGAGGGGGGGAGGGAGGATGGGGAGGGGACAGGCGATTTTTCACCTCACCTTCTTCTTTCGTCACTACAGCCCCTCCCCTCCTCCCTCCCTCGGGTAGCTCCCAGCCCGCTCTTTACTGGTCGCACTACTCCCCCCTCCCCCTTTCGAACGTAAACCGGACTTCTCTCCCTCTTCCCGACCCCCCCCCCTACCTCGCCCTCGAAGGCACCTGGAGGAGGAGGGGCGAGAGGGGGCTCCAAGTAGACTTTTCTACAGTAAAATACCTGCTACCTAAGCCCTTGGAGGAGGGGGAGGAGGAGAAATACCCCTCGCCCCCCCATTCCGTCGGATCCGCCAATGATTATGCGCTTTATCTTGTTCGTTCCGTTCGTCTATCTGTTGGCATGATCGCTTTGCTTCAACCTCTGTCCAGTTCGGAGTGAAATTTAGACAGCGTCTGATCCTGAGGCGCTTACAATTTTCTCTCCCTTTTTCGGCGCTTACAATTTTATCCCACATCCTCGGCGCCATGCATCCCTCCCCTTCTTTTTGATTAGATTTTTTTTTTTTCGATTTTCTTCATCAGAATGCCAGAATTCTGGTTATTTTCTTGCATTTTTATGCAAGTTTTCTTATCAGACACACTGACGAGGCCCAATTGTGATAACGGTAAAAAATGTATACGACTTAATGACCCGAAACATTTCTTACCCATTACAATTATTTCTATATTCCCAAATCTCTTTATTTATTTCTCTCTTTCATTGTTTTTCTTCTTTTCTTCATTTTCCTACTTTATCAGTTTCTCTTTATCCTTTAACAGTCGAGTTTCGAATCCCCTCATCTCCAGAACTCGCTTTTCATGAGATTTGAAAATTGGCCTGGGTAGTGGTAAGTACCAGCAGCAACCAAACATGAAATTGTAAATGTGCTGGCTCACAAGGATTCAGTATAACAGAACTCAAAGATCCTGTACTACTTTATATGATTTCATCAAAGAAAACGCATTAGGCTGTACTCTGGTCAGATTCTATTTCGTTATAGCGCATTTTCTTAGCTGCTAAACAACCCCGGCTTCGACTGGCGCCCCGCATGCTGCTGCTGCTGCTGCTTGTCAAAAGTGGGCCTGCTCCCCCCTGCCCTCTCCAGCGCGAAAGCGAGTGATACGAAGTGCCACTGAGATGCTTAAGTTGGCATTACAGTAGAAGAACAGAAGGATTTCACTTGTATGTCATGTGTATGAAGACATGACGCAATCTGTGTTTCATCCCTTAGCTGTATACACAGACCGAACAGTGTATGCGGGCAGGAGTGGGAATCATCAGTACAGCCTCCTACCCGCCATGTTTTGAATAATCATAGATAAACGACTATTGTCATAGATAAATGACTAATAGTCATAGATAAATGACGAGTCAGATCGCAAGACGGATGACAGGAAGAAACAGATATGACTGAAGGAGCAAACAAAGTGAGAAAGGAAGGAAAGAAGGGAAGTTAAAACGTGAAGGAGAAAACAGAAAGGAAGGAAAGCAGGGAAGTTAAAACACAATACGGAAAAGCAGAAGAGGAGTCATGCTCAGTCTGTGCTTACAATAAAAGAATGAAAAACAGACTGCAAACTTTGAACTGTTACCTTGAGTATCGGAGTGAACTGTCGACAGGGTGGGCACCAGTGCGCAGAGAAATACAACGCCACAACCTTCTTGCCCTGAAAAATATTTTGTGGATAGTGCCTTCGGTAGTGGACAGATAGTATCATTTCCAGGAGAGGCATTTGCCGGTCGAAAAAAACGTTATTGAAATTTTGAAGAGATGAGGGGCGCGAAAGTACAGTAAAACTCTGTGAACTGCAAAAAAAAAAAAACCTTGGAAAAAACCGGTAGTGGAATTTCAAAGAGGTGAGGGGCGCGAGAGTACAGCAAAACTCGTCTTATCTCGCTCTTACCTTCTCTAATCTACACTACTACTTTCTCCTGAACTCCTTCACATCTTGCCATCTGCATTTCCGGGGTCAACCTGAATCCTACAATCTGCTTAGCTCACTTCGGGCGATTTCTATTGTTTGCTCCTGGTATGGGAATTCTAGCTAATGTGTCTTAAAATAGCTCAAATTAGCAGGTCGATGCGTGGAAAAGTTGCTTACAGCTAGTGCCTCTTTGCCCTTCCGAACGGTGCCGTCCGCCTTCCTCAGATCCACATCAGCCAACAGCTCGGCCATATTTCGTCTCCGAACTGCAAATATTTTATAAGCGATGACTTTTGGCAGTGGCCTCAATACATATCCTCTGCTGCGCAGTGATATCGTTCGAGAGGAGGCCAGTGATACAGCACTCGCTTGCTATGCACACAAAAATACAACGAAGGTAACAGAAGGTCTCCACGCATAGCATTCTAGTGCTTTTCGCAAAGTCATATTTTCTCTCTTCAAACAGGCCCCATGTTCAATACTTTATCGGATTTTATCAATTACATGCTTATTTTTAGCGTGTGTGTGTGAGTATGTGTGTGTGTTTGTGTGTGTGTGTGTGTGTGTGTGTGTGTACCTGACTTTTTAGACACCTGCCCTCTTTTAGGCTGATTCACCATAGCAACAGCCAAGGTGTTTACTTGAGCAGAACTATTACATGAAAAAAATGAAAACTATGACTAATAACGACGAGAGATTGTTGCGAATGTATTGCTGCTGCTCCTGCTGCTGCAGCAGTGCTGAAATACCACACATTTAAATAATGGCTGTGGTACCGAGCACTCATGGACGGTCGGTGTGGGTATCCCATGTTAGTGGTGTTACGGGATGATCCCATATGTCGCAGGCAGAACAGGTGAGCAGAAGAAAACGAGTTTGTGCTACAAATGTCGTGATTATGCGTTTTTACATATATGCAAATACGAAAACGCATATTTCGACGACCCCGGTGTATGTATGCGTGTGTATGTATGTATATGTCCATCTGTCCGGGTATTTCAACTCGGCACCCAAGCAAGCTCCGGCGCCAAAATTTTGCGCGGGGATTCCCCGACCAAGTGTCAAACCAGAACCGCGGTACCAGCCGTCAAGCACGCCTAGGCCCTGCGTACGAGAGGGTGAAAGTTTTGGCGGGAAAATTGATAACTCGGGAACCAGGAAGGCCAGAAAGCTGAAATCCTGAGGTTATGTTCCCCATGCAAACAGAACTCAAGTTCAACTCAAGTTCAACAAGTTCAACCTCGAGGTGCGCGCGGTTCCCGCGTAAAGCCCCATAAGGGTCCCTGGCGCGAAAATCGCCAACTCGGGAGCCTGGGAAGCTAGGAAGCTGAAGTTTTTAGGGAATGTTCCTAGCATATTTGCAACCTAAAATTATCGAGTTCAGCCCCAGGCATGTGTGGTTCTCACGTATGGCCCTGTGAAATTTTTTGGCGAGAAAATGGCTCACTCGGGAACCAGGAGGCTAGAAGGCTGACATTTTCAGAATGTGTTCCCAGTCCCAGTGAAAGTTAGAGATATCAAATGCAACTCCCGGATACGTGTGGTTTTCATGTACGGACCACAAAATTTTTTGGCAGGAAAATTGCTAACTCAAGAACCGGAGAAGTTGGAGAGCTGAAATTTTAGTGGAATGTTCCTTGTCTAACTACCGCGTAGACAATTAACTTGGCGAACTTCGAGAACCAGTATGTCACAAATCCTAGCTACTAAGTTTCCGAGTGATCTCGTTATAGCACGAAATACTGCAAAAATGCATGATCACACGTGCCCGCCCGGTACGCGTCGCCACTGATTTTGAAAAACAATATAGCATGAATGATTATCAGAACACCGTCGATTCTGAATAACATCAGCGATAATGCCAGGATACGGTTGTTGCAAGTGTTAGCAACTCTGTGATACCAGTAGTGTGAGTGATAGCAGCACCGCAGTGGTATCACTGACCGAAGCGCCAAAAAACACCACGACAGCTCTTGGGGTGTTTAGATTTAGCAACAATACAGCGACGGCCATGGCGGCGAAGTGCAGAGCTGAAAGGACCGAGGGAGAGGAGCGTCCGGATATCAGCACCTTCACTACTGCCTTTACTCAGATTCAACTCGCTCTTTTTGCTCACTCGCTCGCTCTTCCCATCTCCCCTCCGCTCCGAGAATGTCCCCCTGCAAAAGTCCCGTTGCGCATGGTGTGTGCGTTCTGCAACAATTTTTACATTTTGCTAATACAGCTGCATTGGCTTACACATCCAGCACATGATTGCTCCGGGAACGAGACCAATCCGCGGATGAAAGCAAAGCGAGCGAGCGAGCGAGTGAGCTTCGGCCTTGCGCCTGAAATGAAACCGCAAAAAGAACTCGCGCACACGTACGCCAAGAATGCCTGCCCTTGTTGAGGGGAGTCCGCTCCTGACCCCACCACTGCGGCACCGCGGCGTAGTGACACCGGGGAGAAGGAGGGAGAAAGTTTGTTCACTCGCTCGCCAGGCCTTCTTCAAGCCAATTCGGCAAGAAAGGCAACCGAAGCGAGCGAGTGCCTGGACCGGGGAAATTTGCCAGCTCACCGAGCAAAGCTCACCATAGCGAAGAAGTGCACCGGCGAAGCACGGCAAGAGACTCGGTGGTGATGGATGCTTTGGGAAAAGGGCACCGACACTGGAAAGCTGAGCAAACGTTGTGTGCGCCGTCTCGTCGTCTCCAGGAAGGGCAACAACAACGAAGTGCAGCGGAGCGTGGTGCATTGATCTCAGCCCTGGCATCGGGAAGGGCAGGGAGGGAAGGGGAGGGGGGGAGGGGAGCGACGCTGTGCGGGGCTACTATGGGTCATGACCTACTTAGAAAGCTATACTCAAAGTTACCTGGGTGTGCGCATCATTTTTTTACCGGCACGCTGATGCCTGTATCGAGGAATGGCCAATTCCACGAAAAGGATGTGATTCGGGGGAAATTGGGGGCTGATCCTATGTGTGTTTTAGCCACTGTGTTTTTAGACTTCGCATTGCTTGATCTTTGTATGCGGCATAAAGGGAAGAAGGGGATTTCGCCTACCACCTTCGCCTGCCGCCCGAGGATTTGAGCTACCGCTTTTGGGTTTCGCTTGCCGCCCTGGGAAAGTCCCGAAATTCGCGACAGCCTGAAAAAGAAGGCTTCTGGACAATGCCGAGTAGCTGGTGTTTTCGAAGCTGTGTTGCTTGTTCTTTGTACGCAATGACGGGAAGGAAGGGATTTCGCCTACCACCTTCGCCTGCCGCCTTTGCATTTTCGCCTACGCCTGAGGATTTCGCCTGCCGCCTTGGGTAAGTCCCAAAATTCGTGACAGCCTGGAAAAGAAGGCTTCTGGCCAAGGCCGAGTAGCTGTCGAAGAGAAGTGAGGTTACCAATAGCAGTTGTGAGGCAAAAATGTATGAAATGCAGCAAACATAAATTTGGGGTCTCCCCGTTCAACGGCGGCAATTGCTGCACAGCGTTTTGAGCATTTTGTTATCTGCACAGTTACGAAGACAAATACACGTAGACACACGAAAAATCGAGCAAGAAAACGATAACGAGCACTAAAAAGCGTTCACAAAAGACAATTTTGAAGCGTACACAAAAAAACAATTTTGAAAGCGTACACAAAAAAACAAAAATTTGCATGCTTCCTCACACAGGGAGCATACAAAATGAGAAAGAACAACAAGACACTTATATATTATACAACACAATGGTTAAAAGAAAACTTCATTAGAATTTTTAACTACCGAAATAGTCGATGGTAGCAGAATTCTCTTGACAATGCAAGATTCGATTAACTGCAACAAAGGGCTACACCTCGCTTCTCGGTGCTTATCATGTTGTGCTTTTCCCAGGAATCAGTGCTTACCCAGGAAATGCAAAGGGGGAGCTACTGCATACATCAAGCTCTGACGAAAATTCATCGCCGTTGCTGATAAGACCGAGTTCTCTCTCAGACAGCATTGCTCGCAACGAATTGGCTGATAAGATTGGTCGGTGTGCAAAATAGCGCACAGCTACGGTGAAATGGAAAATGGTAAAGTCGGTGCGCAAGTGGATTGCTGGGCTACAGGGAAAAATGCTACTGGGACAGCGTGGATTACAGGGACACCGTGGAAGGGATGAAATATCACTCCAGAGGATTGGGCACAAAGCGCGAATTTCGTGTTTCTATTGCCGTTGCTGCTGCTGCCGTTCGTCCTCAGAAGCAGTGCAGTGCTCTTTCAAGAGGAACTTACTTTACGGTGTTTATCAGAAATATTATGAAGGCCAGCAATCCTGTCCGAACAATCAGCGGGAAGCAGAAGTCACTGGGATGCGCTCACAGAGGACCTCACTGAAGACAACCTCGAAAGAAGTTATTACTATCTCGCGTGAGAGACGAAAAACAGCGCACTTGCCTGGAAAAGGCAGTGAAATGAAGATTTTTTATATTAATCCAAGTGCATGTCCAGAGAGCTAATCGAGCTTCTTCAGACGTTCCACAGTAAGTCTGCAATCAACCGCATTTTCTCCTCGGTCATCTGAAGACGAACAGACGGTGGATCGGACGGAGAGCAAATCACGCAGCTTGTTCAGTGCACTGAATGTGCCAACTGCAGAAACAATAACACGACCTGGAATAGCACTGACAGTAGCATAGAGAGATGTAGCTGCAGGAAGTTCTACTGCGTACACTCTTTCTCAAACCTCACGAGCGGACCAGTTC